ATGATTTGTCTTTCGAGAGTCTCCAATTCCCCACTCCAGAAACTCGAGGGAGAATAAGTACAAGCTTTAGGCGCAATCATTTCAGGGATCGTTTGGGTGGACAAGCCTTGGTTATGATTGGTCGATGGTATTCAAGGCAGCCATTAACCAATCACAAGTTACACCTGTCCACCCAAATGATCCCAGAAATCGTTGCGCCAAAAGCTTGTATACCATTTCCCCTTATTTCTGGAACTCGTGACTCTAATTTCTCTCAATCCCTTTAATTCCGATGGTTATTTTTGACATCCCAGTATTGTCGTTCATAGTTTCAATCCCGAATCTCTTAATTACTTTAATTTTCTGGTGTGGATCGCTTGATTATTTACCAGTCTGACAGGAAAACGTATTGCCCGCCTAGAAATTATCTGAAATCAACTCTTTTCGTAGCTTTATCAACCCATTGTTTTTTAACATTTGTCGGGGTAAAATTAGGAAATAAATGATGTCATTATTGTTTTATCTCAGGAGCTGAAAATCTAATGTCCTTGATACTGGATATTTATCAGTCAAAGAAGACATTGATTAACCTACAGCAAGTTGTTCAACAAATGAAGCTAGATGTAATGCAACAAATGGACGTACCAGAAGGTCAGAGGGAACAAGTGAAAAACAAGCTACGAACTACCATCAGAGAAACCATAGTGAAGAAAGCTAATGGTATGATGAATAACGTGTAAATATGAATTCAGAAATAGTCAAACCGGACTCCCAACTAATACCCTTCTTTATTACGTATGAGATCACTGTGTTCGAAATGTCTTTAGCCCGTTTCCGTGGTAAAATAAATAAGGAATGAATTACTCTTTGGGGTCTCATTTTGTTATCGTTAGTTACGGTCAAATTACTTTTATCCACCCTAATGTTTTCTAACAGACAGTTCGCATAACGGAAAGTTGAGTGACAGATCGTAGAAAGTCAGTCTTGTTCTACATTTGCGTTCTTTCCACATTTTGATATATCATTTTTGATCTATAATTGAAGATTGATCTCAGGGTTCTCAATAGAAGGCGGCACCCGGCGATTGATCGCCGCTTACTTTGGGATTTATAGCCGCTTACTTTGTGTTTAAGTCGCTTTTCTTTGCTTTGTTTTGACACCTCTGGCTTTGCTAAAGAGCCTCCTACTTTATCAGTGATCACCTCCTATTTAAAAATCTATTGAGAACCCTGTGATCTACCAGGCAAAATAGACTTAATAAAACCTGTACCCGGTAAATTATTCATTTACTTTTAAATTAGATTTTTTGCAAACGTGTTGAGACACTTAGTCTAGCTCTGAAGGAAAATCAGCCTTTCTTACTTCAAATCGCTGCTGGTCACACATCTGTGAGATATAATACTCGCCTCCCCCGTCCCTTAATTTCAAGTTGTTCTACCAAGTCTTGAGCATGGTCTTGTATTGCTAACAACTTTGATAAGAGGAGGAGGAGGGATCACAAGCACAAGAGCATAAGCAGGTCTGTTAGGCCAAAATAAGGTGGAGTGTATCAAGTATTTTTGCAACTGGTTGTAGCATCAATGAAGTCTTTTTCGAGAGGGGTTATTAGATCCCTAGTCTGAATTTCAAAACCAGAGGTATCCTCGCAAAGTGAGGAGGAAGCCATGTCCCTGTCAGTATTAAACGCAGGTGACTGTATTTGCGATTCTCTTCGTCGCTGTCGTAGTTTCAACCCATATTTATGTCGTTTGCTACCATTTCATCTGGCCTATGTAGCTGTTTTACGGCCGTGCTCCATTTGGGGAACAAGCGGTGAGAGCACTCGCCTCCCACCAATGTTGTTGGTTCTCCTCCTCGCTCCGAGGGTTTTCTTATCCTCTAGGTACTCCGGTTATCTCCTCTCCTTAAAAACCAACACTTCCAAATTCCAATTCACACGGACACGTTTCATTGAGGTCTTAAAAACTCATAATTATTCCATGAGTAAACAAATTACAGTTACAAAATTACAATTACATGGCGCTGGTCGGAATTTTACCCGGCCCTAACACGGCCTCGTTAACATTTCTGTTTAATATTGCTTCCAGAACTTGCGGAATCCATCCGACAGGAGGTGAAAGACTACAAGGAAGGCCATCAAGCCGTTACCCAGCAGGCCAAAGAAGCTATGGCCGCCATCTTGGATATTCCTGTTTTCCAAGACACGGTTTCAAGTTTAAAAACCCAAATAAAGAAAAGAGCGGTAGAAATTGAAAAAGAATACAAGATGTCAAAACGAGGAAGCGAAGAACTACCTAGCATCTTAAAAGAACACTTTAAGAGAAACGCTCCTGATTTTAAAGGCGAGACTAGGCTTTCGCGTTCTCATAGAGACTTAAATCTTTAAAAGACATCAAATTGAGGAAATGTTCTTGTTTACTTACCCTGGATGAAAGTATAGTTTTTAAAATGTATCGGGTGCAGCCTAAATTAAAAGCTGAAAATTTGGTGTTTTTGTATAACGAGAGTAAAATTCGCGTTCACGAAAATCCCTGGTGGCAATCAATTCCTGCGTAACAAACAAGCTATAATAATTTATTATAAATTATTTGGGAAAATTGTCTTGTCTTGCCCAATGGAATCCACCAAGAAGTTTCCGAATGTCACATTAGCTAAAAAATTATTAAAGAGGTATTTGATGCACAAAACACATTCATAAAACAGTATAAAACTTTCTAAAACGCAAATCTGTGTATTAAACGAGATTTCATAAAAGTTGCAACTTAAATGAACTTTTGAATGTTACGTAGAATACTCCTCAGACGGTCATCAAATGTAAACGCGTTTTCAGTATCTAAAGCACAAAGTCCAACGATGCCTAGCAAAGGTCAAGAGCTGAACAATTTTGTTACAGCTGTAAACAGGCCAAGAACCTTTATGGTCTGGGAAACGCACTTTAAGTCAATTTCAGCTCTTCCAAAATTCAACGAAACAATCAAATAATTGATTGAAAAATCGAATTATATAACCATGCTTCAGGGGGGTAGAAATCTAAAAAGGATTACCAACCAGCCTGGTAACAATTAGAAACTACCAAAGTGTCGCCGTTACTCTGTTTCAAATTTGTCTTAAGTGCCGTATTTGTACAAAGCCGTGAATCATTATTAAACTGTGAGTCATTCAAAGAGGCAAATATTTTACGTTTCCTTCATCGATTCTTACTCTCTCTAAATCTCGTGACCACCGAAAAATGGTATGATTATCAGAGATACCGTGGCATGCCATTTGCAGGGGGGCTCATATTATAAAAATGTCTTCAATTTTAGGAGTGTCCGCAAGGGCAGCAGAACATCGGCTTACATTTTACTCCAGGTTTCATATTCGAAGCCTTAAGTATTTATCAGAGCTGCTTATAGCGCATGTTAGATGTTCCTTTGGAGGACAAACAGGGATGAACAGCGTTTTTGTGCCCTGCAATTTTGTTATTTCGGGTCTCCTTCACGCATCATTTCTCAGACTTCAGAAAGTTTGGCATAAAGTCAACCTAGAACTAGACAGTAGAGACTTCAATATGTAAATCCTAAAGAACATAAGGAAATTTCTGTATATAGATATCAATCAATGTTTTCTTTAGATGTAGAAATAAAAGGCTTTGTAAAGTACATTCATCTATTAAAAAATCGACGTCAAACTGTTAACCTGACTTCTTTATTACGGAGGATGTAAAATTGTATTGTTTTCTTTTTTTTTTCTTTTTTTTTCTTTTTTTTTTATGACGCGGGGTCGTCAGCTGTGTTTCTGGGTCAGAACTTTGCTATCTGCTTTTTCTCTCGATTTTGTGGCGTCGACAAGCTAGGAGAGTTCCACGAAGACATAGCACCACGTGCAAAACTTGATGAAACGGACTTTCTCTAGTTTTAAATAGTGCCCATGTGCGATGCGAACATTTTTGTGTTATTTTTTTCGACTTCATTGGCGTCAAGGCCGAATTTATTCTCGATTACTGGTGTAATAGTGATGATTTCTGGGATAGCCTTCAATCGTCCCGATCGTCCCAGTCGTCTGAGAGCATTAGAACTCAACTCTATCCAAGGGATCGAGGTCGTCTCAGCCGTCCGGGTCGTTTGCGATCGAGTAGCGTTTCCATATGATTTTTTCGATCGTCTGAACGTTAATTGAGACGACTGGGACGATCCAGACGATCATGGATAAGCCAAGCTTTACAGGCATTCACTCCGATAGTACCAGAAAGTTTCCCCCTTTAACGCAGTATTTACATCTCCTTAGCCGGATTTTAGCTTTTGGAACTCATTAGAAGACTAGTGAGAGTATAATCTTGCCAACTCTTAAGCTGATAAATATGACACAACGAAACGAAATTACTCGCTTTACTTCATGGTACATTTATGAACCGATCTCGTAGTAATACTGAAACACACAAATAGGCCTCAAATACAATTTTATTTCTTCATATTCGGTAAAATTGCCTTACATAAGAATACCATTTTAAAATATCCCGCGAGCAACTTCTCCGGGGATTTTTTATACGGGAGGCGGGGCCCAGATCGCCCCGGAGAACTTGTTCACAGGCTACTTTCTTTAAACTAATTTGAGTTACAATAAGTGATTATATTAGTAAAATGTACAAAATTTGAAGTTATAGGTAAAAGCAGAAGCTGCTTTCCTGATGGGATTATCAAGGTTGTTTACATGTTACTATTTATCAAAAAGGTTACATGAATAGCGTTTAATTATTGCGCCTATGAATGGATTCCTTAAAAATCCACCTGTCCCGTCATTTTTTTTTTCGTATTTGCCCTATTTATATTAACTTTACTTTTAGCGTCATTGACAGAAAGCGCCTCTGTTCCCCAGACACGTCTATGGCTCCAATTACGATTTGTGTAGTTTATAGTCATGAAAGTCTATTCATTTATGAGTGCAACGTTTCCGACAGTTCATAACACGTTTCCACTACTCATTCATTACGTAAATCCAACCGATTGACCGTTTACTGATTTCCATGCTGATTCGTCCTTTCATTAGGGAATTGTATAGCCACTTTGTGAGCTTGTCAGATTTCCATTGTAACACTGTTCAAAAGGAAAAGTAGAAAGCTTTCAGATACATTAACATTTCATTCATTTTTTTTTGTTACTCTTCCACACAAAATATCAAGCAAAATTACCGACGCTGGAAGCCGTACTCAGCGTTTAGCAGGGGGCTTTTGCCAGGACAGTCAAGAGGGTCCAGACTCTCCTTAAAATCTTGTAAACATTGTATCGGCGTAAAAATAAACTGGCAAAAACCGTAAAACTTGTTTTGCAGAATAACTGAAAAACACTCTTTTATGGGATGTATTCCAAACTATGCAATCGAGACATGTGCTTTGTAGATAGTAACATCCACTTAGGCTTCGACGCGTTAAGAGTATAATTGTAATCTGCCAAATAGCCCTCAAGGAGAGAATTCCGAAGCACAATCATCCAAGTTACACCCTTAATTAAGAGAAGCGATACAGAAAGAAGGTTGTATCATCTGCATATTTGTGAGACGGACATTGGGGGGTCTCTTGCTGGTCTGCCACGTATATGTAAAGATGAGGGGACCCAGTATTGATTCCTGTGAGACACCTGAAGTTGGGACTTCCTGACGTCTATAGGAACAAACGTTTGTTGTCCGTTTTACCGTTTCTTCATTTCATCAGTTTTAATATTTTTTGCGCTTTAAACAAATTAAATTCGTTTCGTGCTTAATAGATCCTGTTCAAAGTGTCTTGCGATGCAGTTGCTTCAAAAATAAATAAATAAATCTGAGAGATATGAGATATTTAACAATCTATAAAATATATTGTCTCTCCACTGAAGTACTATATACACACCATGTTGTTTTGCTTCAGAGGCAGCTACTAAATTACATAGCAAAACCTAAGAGGCAATTTACCTCGGCTTTCTTCTCGTGTCTCTAGAACAGGTGTTCTATTGTTGACGCTTCTGCACAGTAATCTTTGAAACAAGATGGGATCATATATTTCAGCCCAAAGAAAAGCAAGTATTTAATTAATAAACAAATAAATATATCTCTTTTCTGCCTCAGGATCATACATACATACATACATACATACACTTTATTGATGCTCCCTAAGTGGGCTTTTCAGCTCAATAGAATAAAAAAATACAAATACATAAATTAATTGAGAATGTAAATACAATAATATTATAATTACAAAATATATATCAATAATATAATATATCAACTTAATAAAACATTTGCAAGATGACGTCTAAAATTCCTGGGGCATTTTAAGGACTTAATGTTATCATTCAAGGAGTTCCAGAGTTTGGCTCCTCTGAAAGCAAAGGAGCGCTGCCCTGTTGACAGGCGACATAAAGGTATATCCAAAGCACCAGATGATCGAGTTTGTCTATTATGGACTTGAGAACGTGATTTAAACATATCAGCAAGATAGTCTGGAACAAGCTTGTTAATACATTTGTGCATCATAGTAGCGTCATTTAGAATGAGTTTCTCTCTAATAGGAAGCCATTTCAATGATCGCAACCCATCCGAAATATGGTCATACTTTCTTAGTCCCAGAATAATTCGCCCAGCAAAGTTTTGGACTTTTTGTAACTTGTCAATATTGCTGCTGCTGGTATTACTCCAGACAGTTGAACAATATTGGAGTTTACTAAAGACAAATGAATTTATTACTAACAGAAGTGTTTTCCTATCCAGGAGGTGCTTGATTCTGTTAATTTGGTACAATTTAAAAAGGCATTTAGAGGCAATCTCAGTGATATGTTGGTTATAACTGAGGCGTGTGTCGAGAAGAACACCCAAGTCCTTAACGACAGGCACAGGTGTTATTTCCTTGTCAAAAAGTGTTATACTGAATGATGACAGTTTCTTTAAAAGTTGTGGTAATCCAACAGCTAGAACCTTAGTTTTGTCCGGATTAATCAAAAGAGAGTTTTTACAGCACCACTGAGATATTCTCGTAAGATCTTCGTTTAAGGCGAGGATGGACGTGGGTAATTCGGCAGGTGAAAAGGACAAATACAATTTACAATCATCAACATAGGAGGCAGATAGACAACGTTTAGGAACAGAAAGGAGGTCGTTAACATAGATTGTAAACAAAACCGGACCTAAAATAGAGCCTTGCGGAACTCCGAACTCAAGTGGGAGTACTTTAGAAACTGCGTCACCAATTCGAACGCACTGTTGTCGGTTAGAAAGGTAACTCTGAAACCAATCCAACGCACCCTGGGAAAAATCGAGATTTTGTAGCTTGGATAACAAGATGTCGTGTCGAATACTATCAAATGCTTTAGACATATCTAATAAGACCATGATGGAAACTTTCTTGTTATCCATAGCCTGGAGCAACTGATCTGTAACGTACAACAGAGCTGTTTCTGTCGAGTGAAGCTTTCTATTTCCGCTCTGATGTGCTGCCAGTTTATTATTTCTAATTAGATGCTCCATAAGTTGTCCATGTACCAACCTTTCAGTGACTTTTGAGACTATTGGTAATAATGAGATGGGGCGATAGTTGTTAGGGACATCTGGATTACCGCATTTGAGAATAGGTGTAACCTCTGCTGTTTTCCATGCACGTGCAAATGTGTTGGTAACAAAGGAGTTATTCACAATGTGGGTAATTGTTGTTAGCGTACTGGGTAAACTGTCTTTAAGAATTCTAGAAGATATCTTGTCCATTCCAGGAGCTTTGTTAGATGGTAGGCTTCTAATCACCCTTTCTACCTGATTTTCCGTGACTTGATGGAGAACGAATAATTCGGGGCTAACGTCGGTGGATATGTGTAAAGGAGTCGGCACATCCAAATTTACATTAAGTCCATGATGTAAAGATAAGTCCCTGGCTTTTTGAGCAGTAATACTGCCGACGGAAGTGAAGAAATCATTTAATTCGTTAGCTAACCCAGTGGGATCCTCAGAAGCCATAAAACTATCTTGTTGTTAAATCACAGTCACAGTCAGGGGCAGCGACATATTTAAGCTAAATTACTTTATATTATTTCATCTTTTTGAAAGTTGATCGTAATTTTGTAAAAAAAAAAAAAAATGGAGTTATGGTTACATAATTTGTCAGACGACAAAACACTTTCTCTGTGGTGGTATGTTTTCATAACTTTTAGTAATTACAATAGCCCTGAAAGTTTAATGAAGAGGAGTTTGGATTCCATCATACTCGGCCGGTTGGTGGCTTTAGAGTCTTATGCAAAGGAACAAAATGAAAAATGTAGTGGTGGCAAAATTTGACTAACAATGTTTATAGAGCGGTTTTCACTTGACTGTCGTAAAATCAAAACCAAAGTAAATACACTAGCCAACCAAAGGGCGTAGTAAAACCAAAACCAAAACCAAAACCAATCCCTTTTCGACAGTCAAGTGAAAACCGCTCTATCAGTAGTAACTATAACCAACCCACCATTAATCGCCGCACCTCTGTCTTCAGCTTTGGATTCAGCACGCCTTGAGGCCTGATAAGGGGAATTGCTCCAAAGTCATCATCTGTAGATGAATATACATGTAACCAAAACATTACTGTAAAACTCAGAAACTTTGAACACCAACAAAAAAGGATTTCTAGTCAAAAGTGAATTATGTCTCGAAAAGAAGTTAAATACGATTTCACATCAAAATGAAAACTGGCGATGGGGATTGATCCGCTCTTGAATCGGCCCTGTGTATATATATGACAAAAGCGGTCTAGTTAATTTACTGTAACTTCAAGTTTAAAAAACATTTCTCACGACATACTATACAATGCGAAAACCTTTTTTTTTTCATATTTGATACTTTCATTGATACATTCGAAAAAATATAAAGGATCCATAAACGGTATAGGTATATAGTGCAAAAATATTCAGACTGCTGACTGCTTCAATGCAGGTAGCTATCCTTGGGGATTTTGACAGACTTTTTTCAGAAATAAAGAAAGCAAATTAAAACATCTCATTCGTTGATAAAAAAAAAAACTCAGACAAAACTTCGTGTTCAATACGATTAGGTAGGATTTTGCTCAATTTATGTTGCCATGAAAGTATCTACAGAATACAGCATGCATTTTCATCGATTTAGTCCAACGAAATCGGTAGGAACAGAGCACATTGCACTGGGAATTTAGATACAGACAATCGAATGCTTTTTAAATATAATCAATTGTATGTACATTCGTTGTCTACATGAGAATAAAATTTTGTAGTTATATAGGAGTAATTAAAGCACAAATGTCCAGTGCTGGCCACAAGATCCCTACTTTCCTTTTTCATCATTAGTTCCACACTTCTCAAAGGTGTGGAAGTGTGGAAAAGTCTGACAAAGTAAGGATATTGTCGCACTTTTCCCACAGGCACTAATCCCTTGTAATTCTTTACTTAGTTCCACACTTCTCAGAGGTGTGGAAGTGTGGAAAAGTCGAACTAAGTAAAGAATGACAAGGGGTTCTTAACAGGGGGAAAAGTGCGACAATATCCTTACTTTGTCGGACTTTTCCACACTTCCAGACCTCTGAGAAGTGTAGAACTAAGTAAAGAATGACAAGGGGTTCATGACTGGGGGAAAAGTGCAACAATATCCTTACTTTGTCGGACTATTCCACACTTCCAGACCTCTGGGAAGTGTAGAACTAAGTAAAGAATGACAAAGGGTTCATGACTGGGGGAAAAGTGCGACAATATCCTTACTTTGTCAGACTTTTCCACACTTCCAGACCTCTGGGAAGTGTAGAACTAAGTAAAGAATGACAAGGGGTTCATGACTGGGGGAAAAGTGCAACAATATCCTTACTTTGTCGGACTATTCCACACTTCCAGACCTCTGGGAAGTGTAGAACTAAGTAAAGAATGACAAAGGGTTCATGACTGGGGGAAAAGTGCGACAATACCCTTACTTTGTCAGACTTTTCCACACTTCCAGACCTCTGGGAAGTGTAGAACTAAGTAAAGAATGACAAAGGGTTCATGACTGGGGGAAAAGTGCGACAATATCCTTACTTTGTCGGACTATTCCACACTTCCAGACCTCTGAGAAGTGTAGAACTAAGTAAAGAATGACAAAGGGTTCATGACTGGGGGAAAAGTGCGACAATATCCTTACTTTGTCGGACTACTCCACACTTCCACACCTCTGAGAAGTGTGGAACTAAGTAAGAAGTGAAGAAACTCTGGATTTCATGGCCAGGGCTGGACATGGCTCCGCCAAGCTGGGATCTTTAGTAGACAATTTAGTGAAAAACGTACGGAAAGAGATACAGGAAGAGGTTTTGGATGAATCAGAGACAAAGACACACCCTCTTTTGAAAACTCTGGTTTTTTATGCAACACTTGCATGGGACAGAATATTTTTCTATCTTTATCTTTGAGAGGATCTTTAAGTGAAACGACATTTAGAACAAGATCGAGTAATCGCTTCACTAATTTTAATCTCTTTGACATGCCAGACAGATTCACAGTTAGCTACTGCCTAGAGGCTAATTAAGCATAAAGCTAACAAATTTAAGTCTAGCCCTGCCCTTTGCAATGAATCGAATCAAAAACTTGTTGACATCAAACACGTCTCTGAATTAAATTAAGCGTGATTCATTGCTGAGGCGGAGGCAACGTTCCTTGTAAACAGGTCATATCTGACAGAACAGTACCACAAACCTTCATAACTTAGAAGCGGCACTGCCACACAGATAGTCCAGATAGCCACGAGGTACGAAATTCCAATCCAAAAAATCTTGACAAAGTTCATTATTCATTCGTTTATAGATTGAATAACCTCCTTAAAGCAACCTCGGGAGCTTTAAAGAGAATTGCAAGTTTGTTTTCATCTCAGAAGACCTCTTGAGCTGACAACAATCTGTGTTAAACTGCAAGCAATTGGGTGACCCAGACAACCTGCAACAGGTGACATGGTCAAGAACAATATAACCCGGTTAAATCACGATGACGACACTGGAATCACTGGACGATACTAATTTACAAGCTTTGAAAATGCAAACAATATCATTACAATCCCGTAGGAATTAACTGACTCATATGTTTGAATGCTCGCGAGAAAAAAGGCCTGTTATTGTGCAGTTTTGCGAATGCAAAGCGAAACCAAGTATTTAATTATTCTGATGAAATTCTCCATTGATTTTCAGGTCTATTCGCTTCCACGGTTTTTAAGATGAAAGCATTTGATATCTTTTGGGGTCACTGAGCAGACCCTGGATCGCCGAATGCCAAATCAAAAAGTAGTTTTGCAGTGTTAATTAGCTAGTGGGGTAGCCTCAAAACCGTTTAGAAAGCATGTTACGTTTCAATTTTTAAGTAAATTACATTCCATCTTTGACGAAGAAGTGGTGTTATGCATTCTTTCTCATTTTACGTTACCAAGGGAACAAGCACAAGCTATCCAGTATTGAATGGTCCAATGACCATTCAATATCCGTGTTAAGTTTATTTGATATCTGTGAATAGGGTGGTCAATTTTACTTTGATTCAGTTAAGGGGCTTATCAACAAGGCTAAAAGGAAGTCAAGTTAACCGAAGCAAATTTTTAAAGTTGAAAATTTTACTGACGGCATATTTTACCAAAAATCAATACCCCAAATAGAAAACATTAATTGCTTAGAACCAGTCGCATCTCGAAAGTCGACGCAATTACAAGGATCGGACGGATGGATTTAAGTTAAGTTTGTCGTTTTGACATTCGAGACCGGGCTTTATAATAAATAATTTCGAAAGTATTACTGCGCTTTTCACAAACACGGGAACTCTAAAGTTCAAAAGCCCCCGACTCAATTGCGTTTTTCGCTGCCGTCAATCATAATTACGATCACAAGCAACGAACCTTACAACACAGAAACAAATAAAAGGGGTCGAAATCCATCAATCACAGATCACAAACCATGACCTTTCGAACGCGTTTAAGTAAAATTCTGTTTCCTAAGAGATCCGCCAAGATGACTGACGGCAGCGAAAAACGCAAACGTCAGTTGGCTTTTGAATTTCAGAGATTGCGTTTTTGAAAAGCCAATAAATAGAATGAAACTATCTTAAGTAGACATAACAAGGTGGAATGGTTTGTGAGCCTAACAGTTTTTTCAAAAGTTAAGTTTTGTTGTCTGTGACGTTTGATTTAATTCTTGGCAGACACATTCCATATGACAGTGAAGCTTTTATTTTATAATTTGTCAGTAATTTCGTCAATAACAATAAGTTCCACTCCGAATAAAGTCGTATGATTGGCAATGATAGCAAAATGAGCTAGAAAGTAGTGACACATCCCCTTTAAACGTCAGTTCAAAAAAAAAAAGCGGGGGCCGGTTTCGCGAAAGGTGCGGTATACCTTTTTGGGCCCGAAGGCAAATTTTAAAATCAAAACCTGTTGAATATAGTAGCACAATTCCTGGCACAACAACCAGGCAATTTTTCTTTGTTAAACTATCATTTCAAAATTATTGAAACTTTGATCTTGAACGGAAACAAGGTAACAAAAACAGCTTTTCGGACCCGAAAAGTTACCGGGACTTTTGAGAAACGGGTCCCAGGAGCCTTATTTTTACCTTTATCCTTTCACACAGAAGGAAAATCATACGTCTATACTTTCGGCAACGGTTTCCACTCCACTTTCCAAACATTACGAATGCAGCTGGTACTATAGGGAACAAGTGAGACGTCATCTTCTAATAAAGAATAGCTAGGAGTGGTCACCATTTCTTTTAAATTTTACTGGAAACTAAGGGACCAGTCATAATTTAAGTTGGAGGAAGGGGGGGGGGGGGGGGGGGGGGAAATGGGG